TCATTAAGGTAAGCCAGTTCCAGGCCTCCGGTATTGTGCATGCTCATTTACTGTTATGCCTTACTGCAAACTTATTGGAATATAGCCATTGGTAATGTGATTTAGTAACACCTGTGCTTTTCCTCTTTCTGTGAGAGGTTGAATTACATAACATGTTCATGTGATGATTTATGGGAAAGGTGAAAATGCATACCAAGTAACCTGAAAGGGGGTACCACTTTACAGCATATTCACAGATGAGCAGGCTACTGATTATATGGACACAGAGACTGTTTGTTAGTTTAAACTCTAAAAAGGTTTTGGTTAAGATGAATATGATTCAATACTAAATAAGATGACAAACTATAAGTAATAGATTTCATCACACCAGGAATAATCTGTTTTTGTTGTTTTTCTGTTCTGCTGCTCAGTTGTACTGAGCAGCAGAAGCATGTAGATGAGAGTGACTGTGTGAGATGTAGGACAATGCTGAAAAAAGAACATCAGTGCTCAGGTGATCTATCCTAAATATTTGCAGGCTAAATACCTTTAGTTGTTTTATATATTATGACTCTTTTAACACCCGGACACTCTGACATTCATTTCCCAATAGGAGTAACTCATAATGACTTCTGCAAACTGTGTGTGTAAGAGAGAGAGAGGCAGACAGGAAGAGATTGGGTAAAATTGGAAATGTGATATCCTTTATAAACGGGAAACTAAACATGTAGATACTGTACATAAACAATATGCCAAAGGAATCCAGACACTGTAGAATTTGTCAGTGTGATACATGGTACATGAGCACAGAAGCCTCAGTTGGGTCAAGAGCTGACTAGGAGCCTGGATGTGTGACAAATTAAAGGAAAAAACATTATAAAATGTCATAGCAAGGTGCTACCAGAATACCTTTGATGCTCCCTGGCATAAATTCTCACTCTAATGGTCCAAAATCTCCCATATTGTGTAGTTGGGTTGAGCTTTGGCAACTGTGAAGGCCACAGCATTACGTCACCCCCTTTTCATAGTCATCAAACCAGTCAGTATAGATACTTTGGCACCTGTCTGTAGATCTGCCAGAGCTTTTGTTTAGCTGTTGTCACAAGGCACAGAGTTTATATCAGCATACCTACATGTGCATCCAGTCAAGTTTTATTACAAATAACCCACCTCTCCCACTCCACCACCTCTGTCCATGCATATTTAAGCATATCAAAAATTATATTGGCTTTTATGCACATCTAAATATATGCAGAAAGTAGTAAATGTGGCAACATGGCCCTCTGTGCCTCTCACATGTTACATCACATGTCAACTCTGGCAGAGAGACTTGCAGTGTGGGCATTTTGACTTATTATAGCATTTGTAGTTATGCTTGTGTCTCAATTGCCAGGGGGATTTTTACTAGATTGTCTACAACTACACGTGTAAATAACATATTTTTATACCATTATAACCTATTTACCATGTTAGGCTCGGACAATCTAAACAGGCTGCCTAATATTAGAACATCTTCAGGTTTTTTGAAGTCAGTTTCCAGATTGCTAATTTTATTAGTCATTTTTATTTCTGTAAATAATAAACACTAGCCATTTTTATTGGTGTTTTATCAGCTGTTCACTTTTTCCAGCAGTTTCAGGAGAGAACATCATGTCTGTGGGGGAAAGAATTATGAATACACAATCTGATAATATCAGAGTGACGAAAACAAAGACAAAATGTAGTATGGTATGATTTAAAAACTTAAAGGGGATTGGACACTAGCAATACATTCTTTAGGAAAATAAACACATGTAGGAAAAGTTTTCATACTCTAATGCAAAAACTTTATCATGCATGAACGCAGCACACAAACGCATGCACCCTGAGACTGACCTTCAGTACACTGTATTAAAATTGACGACCTTACACTATTTGGCTAATGCGCATCATATGACCACTCCATCATTGTAGGTTTAGGAAACGGGCACTGGAAGTTCTATTTTCTGTCTTCAAATCATATGGATATGACTTGTTTTGTTATAGCGAGCTGCGCAAAGTTCGTTAAAAAACCATCTACATTTGTGTGAGAATATATGATGAAAACAATATTTTAAGACAATATGAAAATAAAAGTAACGTATGCAAAGGATTTTCTCTTCAAAAATCTATGTTTTTAGTTCAGGACGATGGATGGAAAATGAAGTATCGTAAACACTGGTACTTTAAGCAACAGCAGGCGCGTGAAGAAATGTGTAATCAACATGTCAGTTATCCAATTTTGAGTGTTTAAATATTAAAAAAAATAAGTAAGTGGGAAATTACCAATAACCTTAAGGACACATTGTTTTGCTTTATGAAAAAGAATAGAGCATTCGAGACTCAGTTAAAATTGAATGGCAAGTTAAGATGATTTTTGTGTTGTAACCTGCTGCTACATTTGGTTACGGACATTCACTGAGAGGTAGGTATTAGTAATAAAGTACTGAAACAAGTGTCTGCGTTCACAGAATGGAAACAAACTTTCATTAAAGTAAAAATCGAAAACAGGGACCATACATACATCTCACAATAAGTGGGAGAAATTAGCTAAAAAAGCCATAATGGAGATAGCTCCGTTACGCGCACGGCACCTTGGTGCGCTTTGGAGAGGTTTTGGTAACCTTTTTACGCGAATGAATTACCCACATTTCTCAACGCTTCAAGACGCAGTATATCAACGATATATGTGTTTTATGCACAAGACAAACACCTAGTATATTTTAGTAAAATGCAAACTTTTTTGTGGCACTGTTTAGCCACGTAAACTTCCGTTCCCTTGTGTGGCGAGACCAGATTAAAATTTACGCACCAGGAATATGTAGTACTGTCCTGACAACACAACCTAAGTACTTTGATCAACCCCCTTTGGCACACACTGTACGTGCAATAAAGTACTATAAATCAATGACCACATCAACTCCCCGGTAATAAATAAAAAGGCTTGCCTTATTTGTCCTTTGTCTCGGTTGGCAAGGAGATGATGGTGTCCAAAAATGGCTGTCCTCTATCTAACCTGGCTGATTGTACACAGAGAGTATTATTGTCCTCTAACTCATGGTTAATGTATAATTTGGGCCATATGGTATTCTAAAATCTGAGCCTTTATTTCGGTGGCACTTCGATCTGTGTGGACCCAACTAATGATATTCAATTAGTCATTAAACAGGTCAAAAGACGAGCCTCGTGTGGGTTTTCACATAGGCTAATATTTGCTCGTCAAATATTTCCCTTTGAAACGTTTACAGCGCATTTTTATCTGCTGGCTGCCCAAGGAACATCTGTGAGGGTTATTTTAACCTCCCTCTTCTGGATAAACGAGGTCCCCCAATTGGCCCTTTCCTTGCGCCCATATACGAGTCTATTTGTTCACGTTTTGAAAGAAAATGTAATAAAGAGAGACTGGGTGATGGATTTATGATTTATCAAAAGCACTTTACCATATGGCAGTCGTCATTGGCGCAGATTTCCAAATGTTTGTTTTATGAAAGGAGGCCAGAGATCCTTTTAATCTGAGCCACTTAACCTGGGAAAGGATGCCCAAGTCACGTGACCACAAGTCCCCCCCACCCCACCCCAAAGGACGTGAAACATACCACTGTTGATCATTTAATTTCTTTCATAGATGGAATTTGTACCTTTATTATAGTAGGATTACAAGCACTGAAGCAGAAGGTTGGGTTGCACTGAAAAACTGGTTTGTCTGATTGAGACTGTCGGCAGCCACTGCGCAAAAGGAAGCCAGTTTGAATTCCCAAACTTGAATATTACTGTGTTGATTTGCAGATCACAGCAGTACACAGACATTTTGAATTTAAAACGCAATTTATAAGAATCCAGAAGTGGAAATATTTGTTTAATGGCGCCGAGTAAATGTGGAATGACCAAGAAATAGTAACATCAGTTCAGGTGCCGTCAATTCACTTTTCTGCAAAGCTACTTCTAAATGTATGTAATGTTTTATTTCTTGGTAAGTGAAATCTTATTTGACTTAGTTTACGTGGCACATGAATCACATTTCTTGTGACTCGCTTTTTTGTTTTCTATTTCTATTACTAAATGTTTGGTGTGCATGATAACGAGATCGAGCTACAATTTGGACTTTCTTTAATAAATATATGTACCTTGAAACTTGAACCATGAATAACTTCTATACTATACAAACTCTCTTACACTTGAATCATGAATTTAAATCGATCTGCCTTTCTCTAGCCTACATATACATCAAAATGTTGGATACTTCATTTTAAAAATACCTGAAACAAATTGAAAAGCACTCTGAGATAACTGTTGTTGTGATTTGGCGATCTATAAATAAAACTGAATCGAAATTGAATTCAATTGAATTGAAGGAAAACCAGAATATTGTTATATGTCTCATGGAAAACAGGTTGTCAGCACAGACCTACCAATCTGAAGCCCATTTTATCTATAATGTCCATGTTCACTTCCAGGCAATATTGACATTTCAGGTAACAGGCCACCACGTCATGTTGAGGTCTGCAGGCCTATAAATTTCTGCTGAAGGGCGTGATTCACCTCATTGTGAGTCACCAGAGACAGCGGTGACGAGACAATATATATTTTCGACAGACGACCTGGTGTAGTTGCGCTTTTCCTATAAAATAGTGTGTTTTTTTCTTCCTGGGAACATTATCACATTAGGCATTTCGGTTTTGTATCCGTTGCATCAACAAGAGGATCAAGCAGAGATGTGCGGAACAAACGTTGATCTGCCAAATAAAGGTTAATTTTACAAATTTACTTTGCTGCACTTTTAGGTTATTATTAGATTTTAAGACACGTGACAACGTGAGACTTTACTGTGCAATAAGCACAGTCCAGATTTGAACTATGGTAAATGTAATTTAGGTTTGAATACGCATTGTAATCCTCTCTGAGATATATATATATATATATATATATATATATATATATATATATATATATATATATATATATTTAAAAATAGACATACAGGCTGTGTTATGATAAGGTGGTGGAAGTGTCAACCAGCTAGGAGGGATGTTTCTCAACGGCAGACCTCTCCCAGAATCCAAGAGGAGGAGAATGATTGAACTGGCCTCGGAGGGAGTCCGTCCAAGCCAGATCTCCAGGATACTTAGGGTACGCAAAAAACCCTTTTGGCCAAACTGCGCAAATAACCACAGTTAGACTCTAAAGTGGCTTGGAGTTAATGAGAAACCTTGACTAAAGCGTATTGCCGTGTTAATATTCGCACTGACGTCTGTGCGTCTGTCACTGCGTATTTCAGGTGTCCAACGGGTGTGTCAGTAAGATCCTGAGCCGCTACCGCCGCACTGGACTCCTGGAGCCCAAGACCATTGGAGGGAGCCGACCTCGGCTTCTCACACCCGGTGTCATCTCCACAATCATTCAGTGCAAAAAGGAAAATCCAACTATTTTTGCTTGGGAAATTCGAAAACGGCTTGCAGCAGCACGAATATGCAAGGCCTCCAAAGTTCCCAGCGTAAGTGAGATTGAAATTCAATTTTGTTTTCGTGGAACTGAAAATATTCCAGCATTGGATGATGGTTTTTGCACATTGTGTCATTCAAGGTGTCGTCTATAAATCGGATTTTAAGAAAGATGCACTTGGACCGCGGACCGATGTGCATGGAGATCAATAAGCACATCATGACTGAGCCAGGTAAGTCACCCACTGAAAATAAGTGAATGCATGCATGGAGAGCCTATAACCTCCAACAGATGGTCATTATAAGGAACACAGGAGTATGCAAGACGAAAATGTATCATTACCCAAACAACCCAATTTGATCATTATACACCAGTTTGTGATGAAGCCTGTTAATTTCTTAGAAAAATATACTGCACATCAAAATGTGGGTGAACTGGAAAATAGAGAGATGAGTTTATGTAGGTCTGAACTAACATTTTCTAATGCGTGTGTGTGTGTTATATGTACAGATTTTGATTCGCTGATTCAAGAAGAAGTGAGCGTGAGAAAGATGTCTGAGACACTATGCAATAATGACCAGAAACCTAAAGGTGTCCAGCACCGAAACCGCACCACCTTTACCCCGGAGCAGAGCAAAGCACTCGAGCAAGGTGACTTAAAGCCCATTCATCTCAAACTAAGACAGTACTGCATTTTTCCACTCAGAAAAGCAGTTAAACAAACGTTCTTTCTCTCCCAAATCAGAATTTTCTCACAGTCAGTATGCAGATATGTACACGAGAGAGAAACTGTCAGCTGAGATAAAACTTCCTGAGGACACCATCAAGGTAGAATCCTCATTTTTAATCACCAAAATTCTCATGCCGAATCACAAATTTAAACGTTCTGCTCTTGAGATGATTGTCTGCCTCTTACAGGTCTGGTTTTCGAACAGACGGGCTAAATGGAGGAGGGAAGCCAAACACAGGAGTAGCACACAGAGTAAGTGTGTGTGTGTTTCAGCAAAATACCACAATTCATCCATAACAATAAATTGAACTGAATAGCAAGAAGAAGCCCCTCAGCACATGCCCATTCACTCCTCACAATTATGTGACAACACATAACCTCTCCATATCCCTTGCAGGCCTTCAAAAGCAAAGAGATTTTGTTCCTGTGAATCCATCAATGCCACACAGCATCATATCTCAACAGGTACAGGATGAGTTAGCACTTTGTGAGACAAACTTTAAAGGCCCTGAAAACTAATTTTCAGAATGACTTTTTGGCTTTGAGCAATGGGGTCACATACAAACTCGCTACTTTCAGCCAAAGTTAGAACAGTTTTGGTTGTTTCATGTGAGAGCTTTCTGTATTTCTTTTCTCCCTGTGCTCATCTCACTGGTTAGACTTAAATTAAATAAATTGAAGGCAAGGTCTTTAAAATGTAATATTATACTTTTATAAGTATTGTGAGTAATATGATTAAAAACCTGTGAAATACTAATTGGTTTTCTCACAGATGAAGGCAACAGGGGCGCCAAGAGTCTACTGTGAAAATTTACATGCCTCTTCTGCATACAGCACAGTTGCCAGAAAGTTGCAAAATGGCTGCTTCTTTCCAACAGAAACAGGTAGGATCCTGCAAAAATCTCTTTTTATCAAATCAGTGTGTTCAGTTGTTTGATTGTCTACATTCTAAAACAGTAGCTCATCCATGTTGAAGATAATAGTGAAGTTATGAAGTACGGACCAGCCATAATGTCTAGCTGTAGTTAGGTTGAATATAGATTCATGGTGAGAATAGTTATAGATGACGTTTCTTATCTCAGACCCAGGCCTTTATTTATCAAAATGCTGAAATATGATATAAAGTTACATCACTTTGTTTTGTTTTTGCTTCTTTAAGGTTGCAAACAAGAAGAAAGCTGGCATTACTTTACTCAGCAATTACTTTATATATATTTTTTTTTCATCATTGTGGTACTAAATCCCTCTCATAACTGATCATAATCTGTTTAATGTTTCCATTTCAGCCAATTCTCTATAATTTCATCACTATTGATGTCTTTATACATTATAAAAGTATAATAGACTGTTGTGTTGTTGCTGGTGGAGTGACTTTTACACAAATTAAATTTTGCAGAATACTGAATAAATGTTAAGATTATTTAAAAGAAGAACAATAAGGTAGATGAAGTATACATTCTTGTGTCTGATTAGCCTTTTCTGCCTTGAGCATACTTGTGATAAGTCATGCAAGAGCTGCTCCTAAATGTTAGCTGTAGATAAGAGTAAATCGCTTGATAAATATGTATTAATCTTCATTTTTTCACTCCTAATTTGGCTCTTAACAGCATTCTAAAGTGTAATCCTGAATTTAAATTAATTGTTTAATTCCTTCAATCTGATGTGCAGGCATGGGGAATTCTCAACATCTGACATCCATCTCAGTCCCGCCTTCATTCCTCCATCAGTCGAATAACATGATGGCCCAGACCATGACGGACAAGACTCCACTGGATCTCCACAGAGATAGATTAACTTTCCCATTGGTTCACCATCACACAGACACAAGGACACCCCTCCCTTTGGCAAGTGAGACGATAAGAACAGACCACCCTGTGCCTCAGTGCTGGAACCAGCAGGGAATGCCTTTTACTTGGAGCCAGTTTCAAACCGATGAGAGGTATCTGTTTGCTCAGCAGCCCTGGGATGTGAATCCACATTGCTACCTGGACTAAATATGTGACCACATCTCTGACATTAGTGGGCATGTTTGATTTATAGCGTTGAAAGTGTATTTCTCACTGGATCACTAGCAAGAACTATGTTTTGAGTGCAGCTCAATTTCTAGACTGGAGGGACACATTCTAACCAGCAGAGGGCAACAGAGGACTGGAGTTACAATCTTGTTCTTTGAACTCCCTTTTTTAAAAATGCACTGCAACTCCACTCATCACTTTTTCTTGAATAGTATTCTTGGAGTAACATAATTGCTAAACTAATATCTTAAGTATTCTATATTCAAAGTGCTTTTGTTAATCCCAGTGGATCTTAAATTAAGACACCAAACTGACCTGTAAAAAAGCCAAAGTTAATGCAACTTTGTAGGATATGAAGTGTTTAATAAAGATGGACAGATAAGATGCACAAGATACATTTTTTTAGAAGTAATGATCAGTTTTAGTTATTTATTTATAGTTTCCAGGAATTAAGATGTTATATGCCAATGTGTGATTATGCCAATAAAGTCAGGTTCTTTCTGAAAGGTGCAGATTTTAGAGGGTGCATTTAGTGCATTAACTGGATTCTCAACAGTATATCTGGTCAGTAATATACTGTGGTTGTAACATAAATCATAGCTCCATGGATCATTTAAGGTTACCAGTGGATAATATGGATGTTATCTAGTCTTGGGCTTGCTGTTTGTTTAAGTGCAGAGTGAGGCACTCTTCCAAGATTTCTTTCCAGGGAAGGCCAGTAGGAAAATCTATAAAAGTATAGCTTCAAAAAGTCTAAACATGACCTGATATGTGCTCTGCTTGGTATCACTTTTTATGACTGCAACAGGGCAGAGGCATTGAGTTCCTTTATATCCCTTTACTACAGTGAAGAGACAGTAAGACTGCTCGATAATTGGTCACTGGGGGAAAGGTTGGGATCAGAAGGCAAACAGCTTGGCCAGCAGCATGGAAGTGGCCTACTGGCAAAATGACCTAACGGAATTTAGCGCTATGAAGCCAGATAGGTAAATTACATCCCCACATGACAGTGTACTCTTGTGTTGTGATTTGTACTGCACATCTAAACCATGTGTAAGAGTTTAATTCAGCTTTTTATCAGTAGGGTTATCCAACTGTAATGGAAAGTAACTCAGTACTTTGCTTATGTACAATTTTCAGGTACTTGTACTTGAGTATTTCCATTTTATGCTACTCTGTAATTCTACACCACTACATTTCAGAGGCAAATATTACACTTTCCACTTCACTACATTAATTTGACAGCAAAGGTGCAAGTTACTATACAGATTAAGATTTTATGTTTTAAAAAATCATACGATAAGCTTATAAAATAAAATAATAGACATTGTTATGGATCAAACGAACCTTTTAGCTGGTGACTTCTTACAAAAAAGCTGTGTCTAATCGGGGCTCCTTGTCACGCTTGAAATGGTTTCGTAACTGTTCGAGGCCCTTCATAAAAATAGCAAAGACAGATAAAACATGCACCGCTTGCCCTCCTTCGTTTATTAGCACTGAGGTGCCTTTGAGCAAGATCCTTAACCCCAACTACAGAAGATCAGACTGTGGCTCCCAGGTGTGAATGTGAAACTGTGCAAATGTGATCAGGGTTTTCCTGCAAAAGAGAGGCTTCCTCTCAGTAAAGCTCCCCTGAATAAATGAAGGTTAAAATGTATATGTAGGTCTATATCAAGAAATTATAAAATTTTTGATACTCTGAGCATATTTTGCATAATAGTTCTGTACTTTCACTGCAGTGGAATGTTGAATGCATGCCTTATATATATGCAGTGCTTCTTTTACTGAAGTAAAATATTTAAGTACTTCTTTCACCAGCAGTTACCAAAAAAAGCAACAACAGTTTTTACCTCAATATGACACAAAAATGAATCTTTCATTTGGAGTGTTAAGTACATCTAATCTTATATTGTGCAACCAAAAGTTTCAGAGTTGCTGAAAAGCTCCAATTATCTTACTTAAGTATGGGATGTCCAAATTTGTTATCCAAACATTTCTTAAGAATTATAGTAATTTATCTCCTTCAGTGGTCGACTGATGACCCCTGCAGCTTTCAGCCACTTAAGAAAAGTTATCATGCCCTAGGATTTGCTGCTCTGAGTGATATAAGGAGTTAACTGCCAAAAACTGAGTAAACAGATTCCAAGTGTGTGCTGCTGGCATATTCATTTAAATACATGATACATGGGGAATAGCCAAGAGAAAGAAATGGAGGAACAGAATATAGCAAAATGTAATGTCTAGTTGTTTATTAAAATAGGAATAATACAAAGGCTACAGAATTCAGAAAGGTTCATAGATATAAAACAACTTACTAACACAAAATAGCAGCTGTTATATTTAAAGTTTACAGTATACAAACATTTAAACAGAATGATCATGAAGTAAAAATACTAATTAAGTATGATATTTACAAAAATTACAAACTGTAATTTACAGAATGCACTGAGCTATTTACATAAAGGTAAATTAAATAACAGTTACAACACCATAAGAGCACACAAAACTAATCAATAATATGTAATGTTTGGTTTCACCTATCTTACACATAAGTTGCCTCTAATGAATTTTTATTTGTTTAAATTTAACACTTCATAGACTTTCACTTTAGTTTTATCCTGTGCAAGGCTATTATTGGTGTATTGCATTTGTCCTCAAAGTTATAATTTAATTGTATACAGTCATGGTCTCTGAAAGTCCTTAGACCCCCCCGCTTTTAACATGGAATCACATCATTAAGATATATGCATCACTCATTGTTGACAGTAAATGCATGTTAAACTCAGCACAATACTGACTGAGCCCCCAGCAAGCATTCTTGAATTAAGAAGTTAAATGATATGAGGCATAGGGTAACCTAGCATATTATTGTGTGTTTGTGTGGCTATTTAAATCAAACATGCACCACAGTTATTCTGGGGTCATAATTACTCACAGGACAAAAAAAAACCTCTTCATAGCACATCAGAATCTGGATTCTTTTCAAACAATGTCTCCTGCTGATTTAAATAAATATACCTAGCTACTACTTACAAGCTACCAGTCTCTTTAAATATTTAACATAATCAGAGGCATGGAGAAGCCAATCTGACGTTACTCAGTGAACCAAAAATATTCCAGATCTATAAGACCTATAAATTCTTACAGCACAGTAGAAACATACTCAATGAATCTGCAGTTATGTACATAAGGAGCTACTTTCCATGAAACAAAAAAAAAAGCATAAAATATCCTACTGACCACACACAGCCCACCAGGAGCCAAAGTTCCCTCCAAACTGGAGACTGAATAGCCATGTTATATTTGGCATGGCTCTTTTCTCTCTCTCATGCTACAAATATTAGCATAAGATTTGGAGCAGTTCGCTCAGTCCTACACAGACCCTCTCACAGGGAAACTAACAGTTACAGGCTAAGTGGGGAAAAGGTAGTCCAGCTACTACACACAATTAGCACTGCATGGTTTGCCAAGACTGCTACTGTTAGCTTTTCAAGCAGCAACAGTGTATTTCATATACTTAACTACTATATATCTGAAGCCACATTTTAACCATTGCTGGATTTACAGGCTTGGCTTAGTCACTATTGTCTCATAGGGACTTATAGTGGCTGTACTATGTGTACTGTGAGTTTATCATGTTCTTTTCATGTTTTTGTTTTCCTTCTTTTTGGTATTACAATACCATGGCTTTTTGTTGGATTATTTTAGTAGACGAATAACATTTATCATTTTTGCTGTGATGTTTGTACAGCATCCTAAAAATATGACCAGATTTGTTTGGTGACATTTAGGAATACTATAATTATACCTCCATATCACTTCTGTTGGAGGTAAAAAGATAATGTTTTGCAGTCCAGCTCAACGCATGAAAAAAACAAGAAATCCCAGTCACAGGAGGCAACCTCACATGGTAACCGCCAGAGATGTGGGTTCTGTCCATATTCAAGTATATTCCAGGAGATATTACTGAATCATAAGTGTCATTCTCATTGTCTTTGTTTGCATGGCTTCAGAAATTCTGAACATGTCAAAAATACAATTAATATGCCGTCCATGTGCCAGAGACTTTGGTTGTAAAAATGATATTAAGGCTAACAACCTGGATGTCTTCATTTGCAAAGCAGAAGAATGGATGAGATTCCATTTGGTTTATCCATTCTTCAATCACTAATCTGTGATCTCCATCAAATGACAAATTCAGCCACAAAATCCCAAAATGGCCACTTTCCATAAGGTGATTTTCCTCATTTCTCCCCTGTGGTCCATACTGTAGAGGTCTTGGGATTTGTGGTCCCAAAGCTGCCCCTCCTCTCGCAGGCTGTGGTAAAGTCATGTATGGAGTTGATGTTCACACCCTACCATCAGTTCCGGTCCAAACTGGGGTAAAGTTTGAACACTTTGTATATCCACTCAGAGTAGAAAGCAACGTTAACAAAAAGCGCAGGCTGCGATGAGGCGCATTTTGTCCTTTGGATGCTCACACCGATGATGACTTTACGCTCATGTTCCTGGCAAACCAATGGACCGCCATTGTCTTTCTGCAAGAAAAGGGTAGAGAGTGACACATCGAAAAGAGATTGACTTAACTGCATTGAATATGTTCAAACTAATCCAAACTCAATGTCTAAAAATATGATACAATGCTTAAAGGGTCAGTTCACACAATTTACGAAAAACACTATTATTTTTGCCATTTAACCTTCAGTGGTTTCTGGTAGTTTCTGCTCCCACCCCAATGCAATGAAAAAATGGAAAGATTTACATTTGAAAAACATGAAAAGTCACATTTAGTCAAGATAATCCAACAAACTTGACATCAACCATTTTTATTGGAACTATTCCTTCAGTAGAGACAAGATATTTAGATGTTTCCATGTTATTTGGGTGAAATGGGCTTTTAAGCGATGTACATTCAAGCTGCATTCGTGTTGTTTTTGTTTCATGCTGTAGAGATGTATTTGTTATCCTTACATCACATACGCCTTCTCCTCTCTTGCCGCCGGCACATATTCTGCTTTCCCCAGCGTCCCCTTTGATTTGTGAGCACATGTCATTGTTGACCATAGGCATGGTCACAGTGTTCAGTGCCTCGTCGTATCCTGTATCTGAATAGAGGAGGAAATGCAGCGCAATTGTTAAATGTCACATATATTCTTTTAGTTCGAATAATTGTTATAAATGCATTGTGACATGGCATATGGGTGAAAGAACGCAGTACTTTTGGTTTCCCCCCATCCATACATGGTGCAGTTGGTGCCTTCAGTGATGTGACACTCTTTTACTGGGAGATGAATAGTGGAGGCCCCTTCAGACACAGGGGCAGGACTAGAACAAACATAATAATAGTCACAAGTTACAGTCGCAATAAAACATAACGTGTGCAC